AGATCTCAAAGGAGAAAGGCTATGGACCGCAGGCTGGAAAGCGCACCAGAATCCACTTTATTAGTTATAATTATCAAAAATCTTTTAATGGGGAAAGACATACCATAGGTAGTGTCCACCTTTTCACGCCGGGCTTTTCAAATGTATTTTACTTCAGCTAATTCAGTCCTGTTTCTTTTAGTTTATGAAAACGGTGGCCTGGTAACTTTGCTATCTCCCTACAGAGCCCAGTGACTCTGGTCCTGGTCTAATTGTATGACTCCGAGATTGCAAAAAAGCACATATTAATAAACCAAAACACAGTTATGTCTCTGGGTTTGTAAGCAAACTTTATTGGACTATATGAGGTAAAGCATCTGTTGGAAGATGGAGAGACAGGATATGAAAGAAAACAAATCTTGGGTGCATAATTGGGCCTATAGTTCCTGGCAACCAGATTTGCATCGCGCGTGTACCAGATCTGAGAAATTCGATCTCAAAGAATTAAGGACCGCAAACACTTGTCTGGACAGCCCCTCCCAGCCCCCGCTCCCCCGCCCCTCCCCGCCCGCCCCTCTCGGGGTTGGAGTGGGAAGGCCAGAACCATGCTCACTGGAGGCCAGGAGAGGGCGGTGGGGCGGGTGCCAGGAGGCTGAGTGGCCTGTGGCCAAAACTCAGGTCACTGGATTATGAAATCTGGCTTCTGGCTGAGGGAAGAGAGAACCACGTGCTTTTCCGGAGGTCAGGGTCCTGGGAAAGTGGGAGGTGTTCAGAGGGCAGGGAGACTGGGGGTGAGGGCGGGAAGCCCGACCAGATTTTGGAAGAGGGGGCGCTGGGGACCCACCTCCTGGCTCAGCCCGACCTCTGAGGAGGACGACGCGACCGGGAGAGGAGGAGGGACGGGCGTGCGCGGAGCGGACGGAGGCGTTGCCCCGCGGTGCAGGAATCCGGCCCTTGCAGGGCCGAAGGATCCGGAGGGGGAAGCAGCCCTGGGCGCCCTACGAGCAGCCGCGCCCATGGGCTGCGCAGACCTGGCCGGGAGCGCCCCTCGCCGAGCCGCTCAAGGCTCGCTGTTCCCGGACGCGACTGGGCGGCACGTGCGGGGCTAGCGGGGTCCAAGGCGCCGCGCTGGGTGGGCGGAGAGCCGAGGCCCCGGGGGCGCGGGGGCGCGCGGTCGCCCGCCGCCTGCAGGGGGCCTGCGCGGGGTGTCCGCGCGCGTTGGCTCCCAGGCCTCGAGGTGCGGGGCCCGGCCCCGGGGACGCCAGTGCAGGCCTGGGGCTGATTGTGATTGGGTAAGTCTTGATGTGGAGAGGAAGTGGGATGAACACTCTGTGGTGTCATATTCTTGTGCTATGTACGTGATTTTTTTTTTTTTTCTGCCTGCAAAGCTGGAATCCATCTGGTCTGTTTCCTTTCATCCATTCATGAAATCTCTCGTGGTGACATCATCTGGCCTTCCCAAGTGAAGTTGCTCACTTGCTCGGAGAAGCATCCATCGCATCTGAGATGACTTCTCCCGAGAGGAGAGCCGAGATTACTTCTAAAATGTTCTTGTATTAAGTCAAGGCAGCATAAGTGCTTTATAATAAAGGAGGAGCAGCCTCTTGTCGGCCAGCCCATCCAGAAAATCATCCTGCATTCCAACTCATTCAGAATACAGTGCTCATTTCAGACAATCCTTTTAAGCAGAAATACAAAATTTTGAAAGCTGCGGTCACTGTTTAATACTTGAATTGCTCTACAAGGCAAAGTGGCAGAAGTTTGTGGGCTACCAAGAGGCAGCTTTTTAAAAATAAAAGTAGATGATCAAGTCATTCATTTGAACACTAGAATGGAATGACTCATGAAGACTGATTTTGAGTCTAATTTTGATGTACCAACAAATGAATACAACATGGTTCAGTTGCGCTTCAGTCTGCTAGGTCCTGTCTGCCTTATGAACAGCCTTAAATGAACTGACTAGCGAATTCTGTCATCTCTAAAATATAAGAAGTAAAGATAGGAGCTAGTATATGACTGTCATATGTCTATGTATTATGTAATGAAAGCTTAATAAACATTCCACCACATTCAAATTATAAGATATTTATAGGGCACATCTGTATGTTGTGTACACTTACTTAGATTGCATGGTTTACATAGGAGTTGAGAGTTTACAGGCATTTAAAGATGTTCAATATTATGCATGAAATAACAATATAATGCATGGTTGGAGGACAGAGAAAGCAAGAATCAAAACAAGACAGAAAAAGAAAAGGCAAATTATACAGATTCTGTTTTCAGCTTACGATGTTAGTAACTTGTGGTTCCTGGAGAGTCTTGCAGGTCAGGGGGCCTGGGTCCTAGGACCAGCTCCAGCCCTATCTTTGTAACCTTGGGCAATCATTGAATGAATGAGCTCAAATTCCTCTTAAGAATTCTTTAGAATTCTGTGGTCAAATGTATGTCATTACACTGAACTCTGCCATTCAAGAAGTTCCACAGAAGTATAGAGACTTGGAAGAAGCAGGGAGGAGAGGGGGCAGGGGGGAGAAATGGTGTGGAAGTGGAAGTAGATAGTGTTTCAAGGCATCCATTTTGTAGTAATTCCCCCATCCCCCACCCCAGGACCCCTGCATCTTGAAGTCCTCCTGTCTTCACTACATTTTGAAGTTATAGGAATGCCCATTTTGACAAGGATATATAACGTGAATAGAAAAATTAGCTCTTCCATTTTGTAAATAATTTTCTTCATAGTTTATTATTCCCCCTCCTTATTCCCCCCACCCCCAAAAGGATGAATTTTCTGAAGGAAGAAATCATTGTTCATTGGACACAAAACAAACAAACAGGCATGCGTCTGATTAGTGAATTTAGTTTTCAAGTTCCATAAAAAAAGAGGAAGCACTAGAAGAAAGAGAAGTGGAAAGGAGTGCAACAGAGGAACTTTTTGGTTATAAACGTCAGTTTTGGAGAAATCAGCTACTGTGAATTTTCTGCTTTATAAAGGATAAAAGATTCTCCAGAAATGTCTTGAATTTGGAGAATAATATCATGTCTGGTCACAGTGTAATCTTTTTTATTAAGTATGAACATTCAGAGCAAAAACATGTACTTTGTTAGAGTCTAGTCTCTTGGTTCTTTCAACAAACATAGAACATATCTATGGGACAGGAATTGTTTTAGGTGTTACAGATAAAGGAAACTAATAAAGTGTCAAGGTCATCACATTAAAAAAATATTGAAAAGAGAGCTGTATACTATGGAATGCCATGGGAGGTGCAAATTACCAAGAGCACAGTGTGTTCATGGCATAGTGTGTGCTAACAATAGCACGGAGCACCATCAAGCTGATGTATCTAGCACGGAATATGTAGACACTGCACGCCCTTTATCATAATTTGTCTCACAATAACTGTACAAAAGAGTTGACAGTATTGTTGATGTTTTACAGATGTGCATATTGAGTCCAGGGGAGGAGAAGTGGTAGGGTGTACAGCCACTTGCTCAAAGGGTACATACAGCCTGTCAGTGGCAGAGCACGATTTGAACCCACCATTATCATTATATAGAGATGTTATGAAGGAACAACATTTTATGTGATATCTTATTTGAATCACCACCCTGAGGTTTAAAATTATTCCCCAATAATAAGGCAGTTAACTCATATACCAGTATATATTTTTTACTGTTCAGAGCAGATCTGTTTGGTGTCATTTTTTTGTTGGTTACCTGTTTTATGTCTGAAGTGTTTTTATGTTTACCTGAAGAGTTTTTGAGCCACATGTAAATGATAGTTGATGGTTTTAAAACAACTGAACAGGGCTAAAGATAAAGCAGCTTATTAGCATGAAAGCTTGTCCTGTATTCTTTCTGTGGTACCCTTTCTTTAACACCTTTATCCTCAGGATTGCTTGGTTGTACTTAAGACATATGAGCTATAGGAGAGGAAAAAAATCATAATTCTGTTCTGCCTTGTACAGGACATTTTTGGAAGTCAGAGGTTCTTGCTAACCTCTGTTTATAGTAATTTATTTTTAATTCCCTTTGCTGAAGAGTACCTGTAAGTACATAACTAAAGGCAGAATTTATTGTCTTATATTAAAAATTTTTTAAACTCCATTTACATTCAGAAATGCAAATGTTGAAAATTAGATACCATTTTAATTGAAACTGAATGCAAAGTTTTATTTTAATGAATGCTAGAGTGGTGTTCCTGTTAGAAATATTGAAAATTGACTTTTTTCCCAAATCACTACTGTATCTTAAATTAATATAAGATATAACATTTGTCCAAGAAAATATGACTTTTATAGAAGAATAGAAGTTGTTTACTGTTAAACGTTGGGAAGGTACTTTGACTAGAGGGAAGTAAATGTTTTAAGAGGTTCATTGGAAGGGTATTTTAATGATTAACAACACTAACTGTACTACACTAGCCAGGTTTAATACTTATTTAAAATTTAGAGATTTGTTTTAGTTTTACATTCATTTTAATACTTTAAAACTCTACAAATCAGGCTATGCACCAAACAAAAATGCCAAACTAAAGTGAGTTATTGTTTCAGTGTCTCAGGCATTGATTTATTTATGTGCTTGGTGATTCAAAAGAACACATGAAATAATTGATGTTTTCCTAGGAGGCTGGCTGGCTTTTGCAAGCAAAGGGCACCTGTTCAAGGGACAGATGGGACCTGAAATCCAGGTCACGTTTTATTTTTTACTTACCAAGTCATGTCTTAGAGTCAGGCTTAACTTTTACCAGCCTGGCTAAGTTGCAAAAGTTGTTTGCTTTTTTTTCAGTTTACGTAAAGGTGCATGTAGGTTAAGGTCAACCTTGATTCTAGGAAAATAAATGGTAAAGTCCTAGGCCTCAGTTTCTTGAGGATATATGGTGTGTTCCTGTCTGTGTGTGCATGGCACACATACATGTTTAGGGAGACAGGATGGGAAGAAGGTGATAACTGTATACGAAAGAAAATTTAAAAGCCTTAATGGATAAAATTATAACATTAGACATATATTCATATTTTATTTTTCAGAAGAGGACTGTCAGAAGGATCTGGGAAACACAATTTTGCTGTGAAAAGCAAAGACCCATTACCTACACGTTTTACAAGAAATGTGCAGAAAGCCATTGATAAATATACGCATACCTGGTAAGAATTAGCCTGTTAAATGCTTCTGACTGCAAAATCAAAACATACCCATAAAGAATATAGGGGAACCCAAAACAGCAATTGACCATGGATTTCAAAAGTAAAAAAAAAGCAGTTTTATTTTTAGCATGGTGAGTACACGGAATAAATATTTTTAAATCGGTGTATTGTGAAATTAACAAATGAATTTAAAGAAAGAAAAGGGTAGGGGCTCAGAGAAGTAAAGCTACATATCAGTACAACCTTTCCTCTAGGAATGTTGTTTATGTCACCGTCCTTTGTTTCTGCAGTGAATCCGTGTCATCATTTTCTTCCGGTGAAAGCCTCACGCCCACAGAAGCCCACAACTCCTCATCAGGGATGCGTAGTTCCACCACCGGTTTATCTACTGAGAGGAGCTCCGTTTACTCTTGGAGAGATGATGTACGTCTCAGAATAGTTCGGATAACCCCATGATTACAATTTATAATGTAGAGCTGCTTTCTTATTTAAAAAAACAAAATCTCTTTACCAATTTTAAAAGCATTACTTACGACACACATACATATATAAGCATTTCCATGTCACACACAAAAACTTAAAAATACAGACCATATAAGGAAAAATAAAAGTCATTCATAATCTCATAACTCAGAGTCTTAGCTATGGATAGTTTTGTTTTTTCTCCCTCCGTAACCCGCCCCCTCGGAGTGTTATGTATGATTCTTTATAGGATATGTATAGCTGTAAAATCAGGATAGACTCTGACAAGTAGGAACTCAAATAAGAGGAAAATTTGGGAGAAGTAAAAACTATAAAACAAAAAATATCACCATGATTAGAGAATTTCTAAGTCAGGGGTTTTGCTTTCACTTTCTAACCCTAGCAGAAACTGTTAACGTTAGCCCTATTTTTGTTCTTTTTGGGAGTGGGGTTCTTAGCTGGGTGAGCTTTTCGTCTGCAGCTCAGGCTTTTGTTGGACATACTGCCAGTTGCACAGTCTCCTGCCTCCTTGGTCCCTCAAGTCCCCCGCTACTCCTGGACGCAGCTGTTTGTGAAGCCTTGTGTCTTGGAAAGTTCCTTCACTGTTGCACCTTGGATGTTCTTAGTCCTGCTCTTTTCTTGTGTTGTTTTTCTTTGCTGTCTTTTTTTTAATTTTTAAGTTACAGTTGACATTCAGTATTATTTTATATTAGTTTCAGGGGCACAGCATAGTGGTTAGACATTTATATAATTTAGGAAGTGATCCCCCTGATTAGTCTAGTACCCACCTGTCACTATGCATAGTTATTACCATATTACTGACTATATTCGCTATGCATTACTTCACATCCCCATGACTATTGCGTAACTACCAATTTGTACTTCTTAATCCCTTCACCTTTCTCACCCAGCCCCCCAAACCCTTCTCATCTGGCAACCATCTGTTTGTTCTCTGTATCTATGAGCCTGTTTCTGTTTTGATTTTTGATTTTGTTCTTTAGATTCCACATATAAATGAGATTATAGGTTTCCGTCTTTCTGTGTCTGACTTATTTCACTTAGCATAATACCTTCTAGGTCCAGCCACATTGTCGCAAATGGAAACCTTCCTTTCTCTTCTCTGCTCTTTTTTCTTTCTTTCTTTTTTTCTTCCTTCCTTCCTTCCTTCCTTCCTTCCTTCCTTTCCTTCCTTCCTTCCTTCTTCCTTCCTCCCTCCCTCCCTCCCTCTCTCTCTTTCTTCCTCTCTCCCTCTCTCTCTCTCTCTCTCTTTCTTTCTTCTTTCTTTCTCGGCTGAGTCTTTGCTCTGTTTAAAAGCAGTTTTCCGCGAGTCACTGCACACCTGGCTGGGCTCCCCATCCTCTGGGTTTACAGCTGTGCTTTTAAATGCTGGGAAGGAGGAGGGCTTAGGAGGGGAGACGGGAAGACTTCAGCTCTGAATCACTCAGGACTTATTCACACAAGACATGATTCTTTCACTGCTGATAAACAGCGCCCACCTCACACCAATCCCCTGCCACCCCGATTCACATGCTTTTGTCACAAGTATACCAATGGCAAGAAGGCTGAGAGCCATTGCTTCATATTATCCAAATGCTGAGATTCCTTTAGTTCACGGTTTCATGTCATTATCCATAGAGATTCTTATGATTTCGGTTTACAGAATTTAAATTACTCCAGAACCTACAACTGCTTTTAATTTAAATACTTTTATTTACTTTTTGATGGGTAATATTTGCAAAAGTAACAAAATGCAAAAGAGACAATTTGAAAGTAAGCCCTCTTCTGGGCCACAGCTACCCAATCCCCTCCTAGGAGACAAATATTATTGGTTTTCTCCTTATTTGCATTTGAAAGAGATAACTCCCCTGCAACATGAGACTCTAGTTTATTATCAATTGAAGGGAAGAAATAACCCAGAAAACACTGAGTAGCATTCTATGAAAAATCAACCTGAATTGATCATTTGGATCAGGTATGGCAGACTCCATATGCACTTTGTTGCTCTGAGTTGTGGATTAGGTTTAGGGTTCACACACCCCTGGAAGAAAATGTAACTAGGGCTTTGGCACTGGAGGCTGCCTGCATCGTGTTGGTTTTCCCAGCTGTGGTAAGGTTTATGGCCTCCTCATTGGTTCTGAGTGCTATAGGATTGCCACTTCCCAACAATCCACAACATGCAGAAAGGCTGAAAGGTTTTCTCACCCGCAGTTCACTGCAGCCACAGTGCATGAACTGCTTAAGGTTGGGCAGGAAAAATGAATACTCTGGCCTCCACCTAATAACTCTGTTTCTTAGGATAGCAGGATTTATTTTTCGTTGATTAATGGAATGTGAATGGCCCTTTCTGAAAGAGTAATTTTCCTTTTTAGTGGTATTATCATCAGAAAAAAAAGTTTGTATTTTGCAGATGTTCTTAGGTATGTCACACTTACATGAAGAACTATAGGAAGAACGTGTGTGCACGCGTATAGAAATATAAGTGTGTGTATGTCTGAGTATCTGTATCAATGTCTATGTCAATATGTATGTAAAATCTCAAATAAGTCTCAACCTGTGTGGTAGAAATGAACTCTACTTAACAGTTGAAGAAACTAGGGCTCCGAGTGGGATGTAATTTATCAGAAGGTTAAAAATTGGGGCACTGATGTGTCTGACCTCAAAGTCCAGTTTCTTTTTATCATGTCACACTCGCTCCTATGTTATGGGTGCTTTAAATTTGTAAGCATCATTGATTATGAAGCTGATATTTCTACAACTTTTAGTCTTGTAAAATCAATGTGCATTTCCGTTTTAGGAGTTTGACAAAACCAATGCGCAGAAAGTACAGCAGTTATTCTGGGAGGTCGAGGAAATGTTATTTGAAGGGAAAGTGAGCCCTCAGACCCAGAACCTACTGGCTGAATGCAGTGAGTGGTCAAGAAGATCCATCCACCTGAGGTAGGGACTTTGTTCATGGTAATTCTCTGGAGTGGTTTTTGGACCTGCCTACTCCTGATTGTTGAATACAATTAGCGCATTTTGACAAAAAGCACTTGCCCAGTTAAAACATCTATCGAGAACATATTCCCTTTACTGAGAAATTGCATCCTTTGAAAATGGTTTCTGAGGAAGTATTGAGACATTCCAATACTCAAGGGCATTTTAATTTGTGAGAAGCAAACCTAGCTCATTTTCTGGGGAAAAGAAATGAGAACACTCATGCAGTTGGCAGTGAATCTTCTTGTTACCTCGACTAGGTACCTTTTCAAAAAAATCTTCACTAAGTGAGTTTTTATTTTCTTTTGAATCCTTCAGAAGCCCCCTGCCTTTCAGAGTATAATATGCCAACGAGATATAAATTGTGAATGCTGACGTGCTAGGCCTGGCGCACTTACCGAAATGTCAGGAGCTCAGACTGGCTCCGGTCCCTTTTGTCTTATGTAGCTATGATAAAAATGAAGGAGGGGAGATTGGAAAAAGAAAGATCGCAAGGAACATAAAGCAAGTCTATATATTTGTATGTTTTCATTCATTATGTGATATTAGTTAACATTTATAGAGAACTTCTGTGTGCCCAGCATTACCCTAGATGTTCAGATCTGATATACATTGTATCTAAGTCACTCCTCAGTCCTACAAGGTGACTATTATTACTCTATCTTGCTTATACAATTCAACAAAGGAAAATCAGTGGCCTAGAGAGCTGAGAACTTTGTCTCAAGTCTCCTAGTCAGTGGCAACAGCCTGGCCTGCTCCTTCAAAGCCTGTGCTCTTTCTGTGATGCCATGATGCTTCTCATGTACCAATAAGTATCTGATTGCTTCATAGATGCTCCTTCGCAATATTATTTTATTCGACTTTTAGTATTGCAAAGCATTTTTCCCTTTTCCAATAAAAAAAAATTAGTGGTTTCTTTCTTTTCTTTTTTTTAACCTTGCAGAGTATTGGGAAGACAGCTCATCCTGCCAACTGATGAAGGAGTCTGCCACTTCCAGGGCAGTGAGCCTCGTTGTGCAGCCCAGGAACCCTTCTCGGATACCTGTGAGCCCAATGGCAATGTTAGAGAGTATGTTCCTATAAGTTGCCTTCAAAACGTATTTTTAATTGTATTTTAGTTATACTTTTTCATGTCTGTCTCAGCCGTGAGCCTTGGCTCCATCACTTTGGAAGTTTAGATTTCAGTGAATGGGTAGGTACAGAGTATTTTTTTTTTCACTAGATGCTTCTGATTCTAAATTGATGCTACTGCTTCTGCTGCTGCTGCTGTTTCTGCTGCTGCTGATGATGTGTGTATAATACAGATATCAAGGGAGTTAACTTTTCAGCTTTTGTTTCAAAGGCTCTCTGAAAGGTGGGCTAGATGCAAAATCAAAACCTGCCTCACTGTGATGGATTCTAAGCCCCAAAGCAGTAGCAACAGAAGAAATAAAACGCTATCATTTTTTCTTTTGCTTGCTATCATACTTTAATAAATTCCTCTATGCCAGTCACACATATTTGGGACTGTGCATGACACCTTTTCATTACAGCAAAGAGGATACAGATGCGTAGAATAATTTAGACTTTTAGAAGCCCTTAGATTTTTTAAATGGTGCCTGTGTTAAATATGTTTCTGTTAAGGGTGTGACATTTGTTGAATGTAATATTTAGTGATTTTTTAAATTTGGAATCCTGTGCTTTATGGATAATTTGAAGACCCAATGCAAACATTGTATTCCTGATGTTCTACAACACATGGAGAATCTGCTTTTCCCATAGATTGTGCATCTCTGGCTCTCAAATCCTCCCAGCAGCACTTGCAGCCCCTGCCCTGCCAGGCTCTGACTGCACAGGGGCGGCTAACCTACCAGCATGTTCATCCCTGCAAGAAGAAGTCTATGATGTGGATGGAAAGATTGAAGAATATTTCGCTTTTGACAGAAAAGAAGCGTAAGTAGAATTTTATTTGAGCTTGACTTAATAGTATAAGAATATTAATTTGTTTGGCATTTATTGTGACTACATGCTCGTTTAGTGTTTTGTGTATTTTTCACTTGTTCAAAAGATTTTCCATTCTTTGGAAAGTAATGTGCTGCAAAAAGTTTTTAGATTCCTACCAGGAAGTGTATATGCTAGAGCAGTGCTTCCCTTTCTTTTTGACCATATGGCACAGATAGAAAACAAGAATTGTGTTCAGCGTGCTGGTGAAAGTGGACAAAGCTATTAGTGGCCTTGATGCTGGGAGGCTCTTGGTATCCTATACCTAGCTGCCCGGAAGGGCAAAAGGGAAGGCCCAGTCTCTGCAATATTGTAAAACAAAAATCTGCCTTGTGATTGAACATTGACACATTAAAAATAACAATGTGCTATTTAAAAAAGAATGTTATATTTATTTATCTATGTATAATGTGCATATATGCATGCATGTTAGATAGATGGATAACATTATTTTAACTTTAACCATTGACACTTTAAGTAATTAGAATGGGTTTTGTCCTTAGTGACGATGTACATGTTGAACAAAAATCAGCTCGCCGTCGTAGGACATGGCGTAAACATGGACTTCCTCCCGTTTCCCCTCACGACTGCATCAAAGATGCCGTGACTGCAGAAGTGTTTGATTACGTCTGGACAAATGTGGTAGAAATAGTGAAAGAGCTGATTAGAAAAAACTGGGAAATTACACTCACAGGTACTTAATTTATAGACCATGGCTTAATGAAAAGAAAAAAGACCCCAGTTTCTCAACTTTGTGCCCCCTCCCCAGCCTGGCCGTACCTAGAACACAGTTGGGGTGAGAGGGAAGTGGGTTTTCTGCTTTAATTCACAAGTGAATTGTACTTTTCAAAAAGGATATGGTTCTTTTAGAGTAATAAAAAATAATATATGTGCACTCTGGGAAAAAAAACACAGAAATACATAAGAAGGTAGCTAGAAGTCACTTTTTTTTATTGTATTATGTTAAAAAAAAACAACAAACTTACCTAACTAATCTCTACTAGTGGAATATTGGTTTCTAATTCTTTATGATATTATTTGTAAAATAAAATGTAAACATAGCTAATTTAATAATCACTTCATTTAACCTTATAAAATGTTTCTAAACTACTTGAAATGTAGCAGAAATGAATCATAAAAATCTTACTGGTGGACATTAATGACTGGTGTTATGTAGTCAATTTGTACAATAGAGTAATAATAATAATCATGTTACTTTAAATATTATTGTTTCTCCAACCAAAGAGATTAGTTGGGATGTTATAAAATACCGAGAATCTTTCTTGCTCCAGTGTATAATGTCTCTTTTCCTACCCACCACTGAAATGATAGGCATTTTGTTATGTGCATGTGGAAAAGTATCATATAAGCCAATTGCTCTGTGGAGTCTCTGCTCTCTGTGGCAAGGTTCAGTGGCCATAACAGGCTTATGATTATTTAAGAACAAATTTTCTCTTTGAACAGTGAATTTTAAGTACATGTATTAGGGAATATGTTTCGTAATATTATTGATTTTTCTGTTGACACAGGAAGAAAAAAACAGAAAGAAAAGTTGAAAGTAACTGAGACCAAATCTCCACATCTACTCATTTCCCGTATTAATACTGATGTATCAAGTGTCCCTCCATCCAGAAGTTCTGAAACTCGAAGTATATCCATTACCTCTCATCTTAATTCAGCTCAGGTAGATACTTTTCACTAGTTTCCTTCAGTTTTTATATCTCTGGCCTCAGTTTGTCAAGACTACCATTCTATTACATTTTATTATCAAGATATTTGGGTCTGTTTGCGAATAAGACTGAAATTTAAAATATCACTATTTCCTGGAGTTTGATAGAATCACCATATTGTTTAATAGAGTGGGGACACTCAGATTTGAGACTTTCTACCTGCTTTGAGCTGTAGAGCTATTTCCATATTTTTGAAGAGAAAAAATGCTTTCCCCCAATATTTCTAGCCAATTTGCAGGTTATAAACATTCTCCTCTCCTCCAACCAAAGTAATAAATTAATCAATGATTATACATTGGGTTCATTCAACGTTTACTGACTTTGTATTAAGGGAACTCTAATAGCTGTTTGGAAGAAATATGTAGATAAACAAAGCGTAGTCCCTGACCTAATAAAACAAAAAATATAAAACAAGTCGGATGCCATACATTCTGTGAGTGATGTGCAAAAAATGCTTCATAGGAGAATAAAGGAGAGAGTGATTTATCCTGACTGGAGCTGGAGGCTTGATCTTTTAGGTTGGAGGTGAAATTTGAGCAGAAACATGAAGAAGTGAGGAGGACTTTCATGGGTAGAAAGTCTATGCGGGTCATTTCAGGCCAAGCAAAGGCATGAAGGAATAAAAGACGGGGTGTGTTGGGTAAACAGTGTTTGGAGTGAGGGTTAGAGGATGGGATATCGGGACCAGCAGAGGCATTGTGGTAAGACCAGGGCATTTGGAATCAAGAGGCCTCTAAGGGGAATTATTTGGACATGCTGTTTAACTTTTCTAAACTTTAGTTTCCTTGTCTATAGAATGAGGATAATAATATGTTGTCCAAGGGATTATTATAAGGATAAAACCATGTGAATATGTGAGAGCTTCTAACACAGAACGTGGCAACTAACAGTAAATTTTTCTTGCATTGTGTCCTTATTCAACGATTTGGTGGAAGCTGAGGCTGGAAAGGACAAGCTTGTTCAGTAGTGCTTAGGAGTCTGGACTTTAGGTTTTGCACAGCCCATCTTGTATGAGGGAGCAGAGAAGGGTAAGAGAGGATTCCTGGTCTTGAGGTACATACAATTTAGTTGGAGGGAGTCCAGCCATGCCAAACAATACCACACACACACGTACACACACACAAAATGAGATAATCTAGTAAACAGTAGAGTGGATGTGAGTTTGAGCTTTGGGTATAGACTGCAAGTTTGGAGCCTGGCATCATAATTTATTAGCTTTTTGATCTTGAATCAGTCTCTTTTTCTGAAAACCTCAGTTTTATTATCTGTGGGTTCTATGAGGTAGGAAGCTATAAGAATTAAAGGAGATAAGGCATGTGTGGCTTAGCATAGGCACTCGATAGTGTTGGTTTTTGTTACTATAATCATGCAAATTAATTATATTATATTGTATTATAATTTATCTAATTAAGTGTCCTTTAGCTCATAAATGCTGTGGGGTTTAGAGGGAAAATAGCATACACTTTACAAAGTAAGACCTTAACTAAATCCTAAATAATAGACAAGATTTGTTAAGCTGAAAAAGAAAAGGGAGGACATTCAAGACAGAGGCACAAATACGCACCCAGCATGGGAGCAAATAAACTGAACACTAGTTTGTAAAGTTGAAAGGACATAGGCCTCAAAAGGGCATGTGGTTCAGGGAGCAGTGGTTTAAAACAGAACTATCTAATAGGATTGTTTCATTCTGTAGTATAAAGGCTTTATAATAAGCCTTCTTTGCTTTTGCTGTTCACAAGAAACTTTTGGAATCACTGCGGGCTTATTGTATTTTTCTGGTCTCTTGACACTGCTCTGACTAGTTCAACAGTATTTCTCACTTTGTACATTAATATATGCAATATGAATTGTGTAAAAATAAACAGTATATAATGACATAGAAAAGAACCTTTAATATAGTGTGTACTTTTTTTTTTTTTTTTTTTTTTTTAGCTGAGCCATCCTACCACCTGTTGGCAGCTCACCTCGGGCCGGGATTCAAACTGCTGTTGCTCAGAGCTCAAACTCTTGAGCGAGCTCTTAACCAACTGAGCCACTCGGCCGGCCCGAAAAGAACCTTTAAATGTCAGGCAAAATACATAAACTTGAGAAATACGAAAATTTTAAGGTCTAAGGAGTTTTTTTACAGATATTTTGTTTTTATAGCTTTTAAAAGAATTTTTTACATCTATTTTGAGGTTTCATTTGGATAAATGCTAAAAGAAAATGAAGTTAAAGTAAAAGTTAAAAGTAAAAATTAAATACCAATAGTACCTATTTGAAATAGCCAAAGAATCCTAATGGTAATTACAATAGGTCTTAATTTATTCCTCTAACATTTCTTTTTTATATATTTGACATGAGGAAAATGTGATTGTGGCAGCTACATCTATGTTTGAACTAGAATAGAACTCTACTTTCAGATATCCTGTTTGCCCTAGATCTAAATATTATTTAAAATCCTAGTTGGACATATTAAGGGGCCAAATAGAGAACTGATTATTTAACCCTTATTTCATGCTTTCACTAATGTTATCCAATGTAGCTCTCATCACAACTCTATGAAGTAGGTGTCGTTAAACAATTAGGAATTAAAACTCCAAAGTAATCTTTTCAAGATCACCATCCAGGAAGCCCTTAGAATTGAGGTTCAAATGTAAGCCTTTGGGATCTGGTGCTTGGGTTTTTTTCCCAGGCTGTCATGCTTCTCCTGGGAAGTGAATGGGACACGCTGTGAAGGACAGGAAACGAGAACAGGTCCAAGGCAAGCAGACCAGTTAGGAGCTGACAGCCTTGTTTTGCTTCTCCAGATCCTGTACCTTCTTAACTGGAGTGTGCCCTGGAGGCTGCCTTAGAGGGCTCCCTTGCCCTGCAGCTGTTGGGATAGTGAGGCCTGGCTTTGCTTGTCTCCTGGCCTGTCTGCCACACTGGTGGCATTTTTCCTCGCAGCTACCCTCTCCAAATTCCAGGAACCTTTCCCTCACTTCCTTCTCACTGCTCCGGGGCCTGGGTGTGGCCATGAGTCACTGTTACAGCTTCGTGGAATCAAGCTGTTCACATTCATGTCTCCCCCCACTTCTTTATAAAATATAATACCTTTATTAAAATTTTCTCAAGTTAGCCAGCTCGCGTGTGCCATTTTCTTGCCGATTTCTGACAGGCATCAGTAATTGCAATAGCACTGGATGCTTTTTAATTTTTATCGTGTTTACTTTTCTCAGATTCATCGCTTCTCCAACCATTTTTATAGTGATTTGAATGGTGTGATGATAATTCAAGCAAAACCACTTCAGCAGAGACCAACCTATTTTGCAGATAGAACACAGTACGTATAAGAAATAATCACCCAGCCTCCTCCCTGTGCCAGACACGAGAGCGCAGAACACTACAGAGGACCTGAGAGAATGAAAATCACATTCCATTCTCTGCTGCCTGTGTGCCTGAGCATGTCCCGGGCAGGGTACAGCCCACGTGAAAGAATAATAACACTATTCTAATATCAAACTCAAAAGGATTACTCTTAGCTTGGGGCAAATAAGAAAAAGGGAATGCAGCTGTGAAGTCTTAATCTTTCGGGCTATACTGTTTGATCACCAACAATGGGAACTTAGATCTTTTTTTCCCTGTTGATGATACTTTGTTGAAGTTGAACTTGAATTGGAAATGATAATCTGTCCATTCACTCAACACATTGTTAAGAATATCTTCTATGAGCCAGGCGCTGTTATAAACAGTGTGTAGTAATGGGCAATTATATATGTCTCCTGTTGTCACACTGCTTATGTCTGAGTAATTAGCTTGATTCCAACCCCCCACCCAACCCCCCCGCCAGGAATGAACAAGAGGACAAATCATTGGGTGTAGGCGCCAGTGCTCTTTCTATGTCCCGGCACCGTCTGGAACGAGTTTCAGATACTCGAGGACTACAGACTCCTGCAAAGAAAACACCGGCCCATAAGAGGCTGCCTTCTCTTACTGCAAACTCACAGAGAATGAAAACCCCCACTGTGTACGGTGATGAAGTTCTTAGGGGAACAAAACTGTAAGTCTTTTTTTTCTCACAGTAAACCAAAGGTCACAGAGGGCAGAGATGCTTGTCACTTAGAGCTTAGGGATTATTCCAGACAAATCATCCTCTATCGAATTTATGTGGACGCTTTTCTAAGTCGTTCATTACTTTGAATATTTAACATGAATTGAATATTTAACATTTGAAAATTTAACATGAATTCTGTTCCAGTAGTATACTTAGCTGTATAATTTAGTTGTACCACAGCTAAGTAACTTATAAGCAGGCCCACGGTGCTGTCTAGCTTTGGAGACCACGGCCTGGACCATCAGCATGGGAGGAAGTGATTAAAGAGGCTGTGCTTTGGTCCCCTTGTAGGGCTGGGAGGCATGAGCAACTGCCAACGCCTAACCAATAATTGGACTTTTTCAAGATGCATTAAGTAGCATCACTTTCAGCTTTTTTTTTTTTTAAAGATTGCTATTAAAATATAGTTAACATACAATATTGTATTAGTTTCAGGTGTACAGTATAGTTATTCAACAGTACTCACCTGGCACTATACAGAATTACTACCACATTATTGATTATATTCCCTATGCTAAAGAAGTGATCACCATGATAAGTCCAGCAACCATCTGACACTGTACCACGCTATCACAATATTTATGATCTTTCCTTACCCCCTTTTAAAATTTTTCAATTACAGTTGACATTCAATATTATTTTATATTAGTTTCAAGTGTATAGCATAGTGGTTAAATATTTATGTAATTTAGGAAGTGATCCCCCTGATTAGTACCAGCTGGCACTATACAGTTATTACCATATTATTGATTATATCCCCATGACTACTTTGTAACTACCAATTTGTATTTCTTAATCTCTTCACCTTTTCACCCTGTCCCTCAAACCCCTCCCATCTATCATCCCAATAGATCTAGTACCCATCTGACACCATACATAGTTATTACAATATTATTGACTATATTCCTTATGCTATTCCCTACATCCCCATGACTACTGTGTAACAGTCAATTTGTACTTAATCCCTTCCCTTTTTCTCCCACTTCCAACCCCCCTCCCATCTGGCAACCATCAAAAGGTTCTCTGTACCTATGAGTTTGTTTCTGTTTTGTTTGTTTGTTTATTATGTTCTTTAGATTCCACTTATAAGTGAAATCATAAGACATTTTTCTTTCACTGTTTGACTTATTACACTCAGCACAGTACCCTCTAGGTACACCAATGTTGTCACAGATGGAAAGATTTAATCCTTTTTATGGCTGAGTAATATTCCATTGTGTGTGTGTGTATATATATATATATATATACATACATACATACATACATACCCATACCACCTTTTCTTTATCTGTTCATACATTCAGGGGCACCCAGATTGCTTTCATATCTTGGTTTATGTAAATAATGCTGCAATGATCATATGGATAAGAAAGTACCCTCAAAGTAGCATTTTGGGTTTGTTCAGATAAATACAGAAGTGGGATTACGAGGTCCTTCTTTGTCTCTTGTTATAGTCTTTGTTTTAAAGTCTATTTTGTCTGATATAAGCATTAGTACTCCAGCTTTTTGTTTGTTTGTTTCCATTTTCATGAAATATCTTTTTCATCTCTTTACTTTCAGTTTGTGTGTGCTTTTTGATCTGAAATGCATCTTTTGTAGGCAGCATGTGTAAGGGTATTTTTTTCTTATCCATTCAGCCCCCCTATCTTTGGATTGGAGCATTTAATCTATTTCCATTGAAAGTAATTATTGATAGGTATGTAGTTATTGACGTTTTATTATTCATATTTTTTATTTTTTTTTCATCTTAAAGTTAAGTTCCTCTAAGATTTCTTGTAGTACTGGTTTGGTGGTGATGAACTCCTTTAGCTTTTTCTTGTCTGGAAAACTCTTTATCTGTCCCACGATTCTATTGGGTTGTTGGAAAAGTCATGACGCATTTTTGCAACGAAAAACAGAAAAAATACGTCATGACTTTTATGACAACCCAATAAATGATAACTTTGCTGGATATAGTAATCTTGGTTGTAGGTCCTTGCTTTGCATCACTTTGAATATTTCCTGCCAATCCCTTCTGGCCTGCAAAGTTTCTGTTGAGAAATCAGCTGACAGTTTTATGGGGGCTCCCTTGTAGGTAACTAACTGTTTTTCTCTTGCTGCTTTTAAGAGTCTCTCTTTGTCTTTAATCTTTGGCATTTTAGTTATGATGTGTGTTGGTGTTGGCCTCTCTAGGTTCATCTTGTTTGGGACTCTCTGTGCTCCCTGGGCTTGTATATCTACTTCCTTTGCCAGTTAGGGAAGTTTTCTGTCATTATGTCTTCAAATAGGTTTTCAATTCCTTGCTCTCTCTCTTCTGGTATCCCTATGATGTGAATATTGGCATGCTTGATGTTGTCCCAGAGGCCCTTTAAACTGTCTTCAATTTTTTGGATTCTTTTTTCTCTTTGCTGTTCTGATTGGGTGTTTTTCTGCTACCTTATCTTCTACATCACTGGTTTGATCCTCTGCTTTATCTAATCTACTGTTGATTCCATGTAGTCTTCATTTCCATTATTGTATTCTTTATTTCTGACTGGTTCTTTTATGTTTTCAATCTCCATTTTTATGTTTTCTATCTCTTTGTTGAAGTTCTCCCTGAGATCACAGAGCATCCTTATAACCAGTGTTTGGAACTTTGTATCTGGTAGATTGCTTATCTCCATTTTGTTTAGTTATTTTTCTGTTCTTTTATTTGGGACATGTGTCTTTGTCTCCCCATTTTGACTGCCTCTCTGTGTTTGTTTTGGTGTATTAGGTAGGGCTGCTATGTCTTCCAGTCTTAGTAGAGTGGCCTTATGTAGTAGGTGTGCTGTGGGGCTCAGTGGTGCATTCCAGGTGTGTTCCTTGTGTGGGTTGCTGTTGGCATGTCAATGGGAAGGATTGACCCTTGGGCTCACTGGTTGTGAGGACTGGCCGTGACTACAGTGGAGGAGTTGTAGTGCAGGGCCTGACCCTACAGAGCAGAATCTGCTTCAGCAGAGCTCTGGTGGCCTGCCCAATCCACCCCTTGGGTGTGTCATTTTTAGAAGTGGCTGGGTGATGCTTCAGCTCATTCTAAAGCTGGCCACTGGGTGCATCAGACCCAGGACTGCTTTGGAAAAGATCCACTTCAGGTCAAGTTCAGCTGCAGTCCATGCGCCACCCAGGGCCACCCAGCAGGATCCATAAAGAAATCCACAGATGGTTGACACTGGTGCCATGCTTGGAAGTGCCTCAAGAGGCCAAGCTTCGAACCAAGGCTGGCTGTCACTAGTGCTGGGCTTAGGGCTGCTCACCAGAACTTCAGGACATGCTGAAACCAGATGCTGCTTGTCTGGGTTCCAAGAACCTTTGAGGGAGCCTAGGAAAGTCTGCATCATGAGCTAAGGCAGGTAGTTTGTATGAAAAAGCCACTGGAAGTGTCTTGGGTGCGTCCGAAAGTTGGTTGGGTGGGGTCTCAAATCACCAGGGTATGGCGAATGAAAGGCAGAGACTCAGTTTGCACGTTAGGAGGAGGGAGGAACAATGAAACAAAAAAGAAACAGTGGCCTCCACCAGTTCCTCCATCCAAGAGAAAGCTGCCCCTCCAGTCCCCATCCAGAGCCAGACAACTCAGTTCCCCACCATGTGTCCCTGCCACCTTTCCAGCTGCTGCCCCAGCACTGGAGCTCAGAGTAAGTCCTTGTGCAGTCCCTTTAAGAGGAGCGGCTGGGACTCCAGCGTTCCTCTCTCTTACTCTGTCACAATCTCCACTGGTTTTCATGACCAGAAATTATGGGGACTTCCTTCTTTGGCACTAGAACCCTGGACTAGTGTGGGCCAGGGACCCCTCCCTCCTCTGGGTAGGGGGGAACCTCCACAGTCGAGATATCGCTCCTGATTTTTATTGGTCCTACGTGGGTGTGGGACCAGCCCGTTCTGTGTCTTTTCCCCTCCTACAAGCCTCGAGGTGACTTCCTCTACATGCCCTTATTTGTAGGGCTTTGGTTCAGCAAGATTTTAGGCGATTCTCAATAATGGCTTTTTTGTAGTTTAGTAGTAATTTTGATATGGTCATGAGAGAAGGTAAGCACAGCATTTACCTACAATGCCATCTTGACTGGAACACACTTTCAGGTTTTTGACAGGTCAGTGTTTCTGTCATGCTTTGGAACTGGAATTTTCAGCTTTATTTGGGTCTGCCCTGTTAACTCTTTCAAGATCTCACTCCCTCCTCCATTTTCACGGTGGTTGCCTAGGACCGCGTCTTCGCCCAGTGCCCATGTCAATAGTACATTACTGGTTCTTCCCTCTTTCTCCCAGCCTACCTGGGCTTCATTATTAAAATATTTTCTATTTCCTATTGAGACACCCCCAACTGCACATTCTCTTTCTGGACTCTCCCTATCTGTAGATGCATGTTTTCCTTTTTTTTTTTTTTTTCATTATTGCCCTTTTAGACTATCTTTCCTAACTTCTCCCCAACCCATGAAAAATTCATGCCAGTCTATGTACTGTTTTTTGTTTGTTCAGTCTACGTACTTTTTAAAAATATATATATATCTGTGATTTATGCATAAAAAGAGTAAGTGGTTTTTGTTTTGTTTTGTTTTGTTGTTATTGTTGTTTTGAGTTTTTTTGTCCCACCAATAACCAATGTTTGCCCCTTAGGGGCAATAGCACCATTTTTTATTATGCATACCTATTTTTCATTACTTCCCTTCACCCACCTTGATTCTGGTCGGCCTTGTCTTCTCTATGACCTACAGACATACCAGCTACGCATATTTTTACTTCCATGATTTTGTTCACGTTCTTTCACTTTTATTGAAATAATATTTTTCCTATTATCAAAGTACTATAAGTTCACTGTGGAACATTAGGACAATGCCAAAAATATGAGTAGAAATCAAAGATCATCTGTATGCCCAACACATAGAAATATAAAAATGACAACTGTTGGTGAATTTACTACCAATTTTGTCTATGATTATATTTCTTCTTTTCTTGTCTTTCCATTATCTTTTTTCTGATACTAATAGTATTTTACTATTGTAAAATGTAGCACTTTTTCATGTACTGTTTTAACTTAACATTATTCATATTTTCCATATTATTAGATACTTTTTTATTTTTTATTTTTTTTTATCGAACCAGCGACTCTGTTGCTCAGAGCTTGCACTCTTTTTTTTTTTTTTTTTAAAGATTTTATTGGGGAATTGGGGGAGGAAAACAGCATTGGGGAATCAGGGAAGGGGAACAGACAAGTTGCTGTCCTTTTGTTCTTCAGTCTAGTTGTGGAGGACGTCGCTTCACTGGCCCATGTTGGTATTATCATTGCGCTCTTCCCGGCTGAGGCAGATCAGTTGCTGGCCTCTGGACAGCCGCACACGGAGGCTCTTGGCAGCTCACACCGGCTGCCGGCCGCTCACGCTGGCTGCTGGCCACTTTCGGTAGCTTACAGCAGCCCACTGCAGCAGGGGCTGCAGTTTACACCATCGCTGGTGACTCACAGCAGCCCAGCTCCAGGTCGAGCTGTTGTTCACCATCTTAGCTGTAGAGGGCGCAGTGTCACTGGCCTTCATGTGGAATCCGAACTAGGGCCCTGCTGCTCAGAGCTGGCGTCCCAAGCCAGCTCTTAACCAACACGCCACTTGGCTGGCCCTTATTAGATACTTTTAAAACATTATTTTAATGATTAAAATATAATAATGTGGGTATGTGATAATTTATTAAGTATTTATTACTGAGACTTTTATATTTTCACTATTATAATGTGCAATGAATATCATTTTGTATAAAGCTTAATAAGGATGTCTTTAAATTGTTTCCTGGTGATACAGTCCTAGAACTAAAGCTATCATGTCAAAAGTTATGAATGTTTTTAAGGCTCTTGAAATATTTTTCCAAAGTTCTTTGCAGAATGGTTCTACCAATTTATAGTCCCACTGGCAATACACAAGACTATATTTTCCTTCAGCCACAAAATTTTGGATAGTATGTGTATTTTAAAACTTGAGAAGTAAAAAATGATGTTATTTTAACTTTCATAACTTTATTATTGAATAAATGAATTAGAATCTGTTTCTAGAATATTCACCTCTATTATCTGCATGAACCAGACAATTTAATTTTTCAGTGTTAACATCTGGTAGGGAACTTCTCCTATTATCATTCTCTTCTTTTATTAAAATTTATTCACCCATCCTGAGAAATAAACTTTACAACATGGTTGTCAAATTTTAAAAAGTGTTACATTGGACTTACTAGCATTAAATCTATTAAAAAGGTAGGAATGGCTGACATTTTCATGATACTTAGTTTTCCCATTAAAGAACATATTTTACCTGTCTTTTTTATGACCTTACATGAAGTTTTGTAGTTTTCCTCATGTAGACCCTGCACGTTTATAACTAATTTTGTCCTGTATTGATCACTCTGTTCCCTAAATTTCTACAGTACTTATTTTCAGAACCATACACTACAGCACTTTATTATATAAACTGCATTGCATTGTGCTCTAATTACTTCATGTGTTTCCAATCATTTGTAAGCTCCTTCCAGGGAGGAACTAGACCTTCAATTACTGCGTGTTTTGCACAGTGGCTAGCATAGCTAAGCACTCAGTAAATACATGTTGACGGTCATTGCTACACAAGGAGAAGGTGACTGGAGCTGGTGGGCAGTCCCCTTTCCACATTGGTCTTCCTGAAATTTAGATAATTTCTTTTTGGAAGGCAAACCATGATTAACAGCTCAGGTGAGGAGCTTTGTGGTAAGGTCTGATCTCTTCGTCTGTGCACCTGGGTGCTGAGTTACGTGTTATTGTATTTACAGGCAAACTGGCACAGACCACATGTCCTCCCCACCAGTCCAGATCTCAAGGAGCAGGTTACCTCCAATAGGCTCAGAGATTGCTGAGCAGAATGTGGCAGCTCCTGCATCTCACCCTGTGTCTGTAAGATAGATTTCATCGTATTTAAGTGCACTGTTTAGATGGTCTACTGGAAAACAAACAAACAAAATATAATCTTGGCACTTCAAAGTGAAACCATTAACATAAAATGTCTTTATAACCTGCTTCCTGAAAGTAAATGGCTTGTGAGAATTTACAGGGCATGGGAGGGTTAATTCATTATTTAGTGGAAAAAAAATGGCTCGAACTAAATTAGAAAGTGTAGGTGTCAAGAAACTCTCTGGTTGTCAGGATGTGTAGTGGAGAACATAGCATAAATGTGAGGTCAGGAGGATCTGTGTGTCAGTCCTGCACACAAACTCTCTGTGTGATTTGGTTCAAATAAATCTCCATGAGCCTCAATTTTTGCCTTCTAAAAAAGGGCAATAATGATGCTTACCTCAAAGAATTGTTATAAGGATTATATGAATTTATAGATGTTATATAATGCCTGGCATAAATTAAGAACTCAAATAAAATACCCCTGCCATTTTTATCAGCCCTCATTTTTACAACTAATTTTACTATGTTTATTGCAATGTAGAGGCAATAGCTTCTTCACCCAAGATCAACTCAGCCATACAATTGCAAAAGGTCTGGGAAAGGTATGTTGTTGGTAGTATCCATCACCAGATTTTATAATGACTGATCACTTCACTCTGATACAAGTAACTTGTGTCTATTTCATAAAACACAGAAGGCCTCCAGTTCTGGGAACATAAAGGCCTAGAGAGAGAAAAACGACTGAGGCAATGTTTTCTCTTGCATTCCCTGTGCCTCCTTGAGCATAGCACTAGAACTCACTCTTAGAAGGCAAGAGTGGCAAAGCTTTAATGTTTAATGTTACTTAGAATAGTGTAGCTTAGAGTGAAATCACAAAAGAAGGCAAATACCACCTTAAAAAAAATCTGATGCTTCACAAATGCAGGATTACATTTCTATTAGATTTAATAATAAGAATTTTATGTGGGTAAGGTTTTTCAATCCATATTTACCTATTAGGACACTGCCATTTTATTAGGTTAAATAATGCAATTATACAATTGAAATATGTTTTTATATTTATGCTTAATAGACCTTGTTCTTAGCAATATATAAATAGGTTTTCAAATAAGCAAGTAAATGAATGGCTAAATGAGTGAATGAAGCATATATAGATTTTGTTGTCTTTTTAAGGGTTGCATTTTTTAAAAAAACAGAATATTCTTTCATTTAGTACAGAGGAAGACATGCACAAAACTGTGTGTTAAGTGCAATACCTGATAGCATAGAACGATCACCTCTTCGAGAAAGATCTCTGACCATGGAACAGTTTTCAAGGCCCAGCACAACCCATACGTTTCAGGTAGGTTCTATGTTAAATAAGCTTTGTTTTTTAAAAATATTTGAAGCAATAAAATTCATCCCTCATTTTATTTGTCTTCTAACAGTCAGACATTACTCAAAAAGGTTCATTGACACTGATGGAGTTTGCTGGTCACACCTGGACGGGTCAAGGTTTTCTGACAGGTCAGTGTTCTCCATATATAAATAAATGATGTAATGTGTGAAGTCAACTTTTGGAAAGAGAAATTGAAGATTTTGCTACCTTGATAAGGCTGTTTGGGCCACGTGAGAGGGAATAACAAATCTCTATAAAGGGCAAAACTGCAAAGGTAAGCACTAAGCTGCTGTTGTTTGTAAAGGGGAAAAAAAGCCCAAATCTCCTTAATTAACTTAGGGCCTCTCCCTCTTAAAAAAGGAAAATGATGCCTTCTGAGTCTTAGGAGAAATTAGTGTCTCTCTCTGTTGTAGAGTTTCTATGCTTTTCTTCTAAATTAAACCCTAATCTTAGATTCTCCTTGAAGATCTAGCTATAAAAATGCTTCATAAAATTAATACATATACTCTAGCTATTTTATAATATAGCGTTTTACAGATAAGTATACTCTTTGAAGGATAAAGTTTGTAGTCTGAATTCAAGTGAATGATGTTTTCATTTTCGAAACTCCTATCAACATTTGCGTTTAAGGAGGCAACACAGCACTGTCGTGAGGTGTGCCACTCTGGCATCAAATGCTTTTTCCATCCTGGCTCTAGCACCTACCAGCTGAGCGATCTCCAGGGTGCCTCAACCTCTCTGGGTGTCAGTTTTCTTCTTTTATAACAGGCTAGGTGGATAAAATAATTATTAGGAAAATGTATCGAGAGGACCTAGCTAGATGCCAGACAGATATTGTTGGCTCAAAAATTATGAACATTTGTATTACAGATCATCTGAAATGTAAAGGATTATTTGCTGTTTAAAGCAAAATACTTCATATATTATAATTTTAAATTTAGCATATCTTAAGTGTTGGGACAACCCAGGTTTGTCACTGTTTACATCAGCCCGTCTATAGTTCTGTAACAGAGGGATGTCAAAGATTCTTTAGCCCTTTGAGATTTTTCTCCTATGTTTAATATTATAGCTCTAGGCTGCTGTACCTTTTGGTTGCTTTTTATTTTTGCTTTTTTTTCCCCTTGCACTGTTAGTTGTCTTGGTCAGTGACAACAGCTCTTTCTCTAAAAGGCAGCCATGCTACATTATCAGGTATTGCTCTTAATGTAAGGTTAGATGGTCAAGGGGAAAGTAGACATCCGGGTTAGTTTATTAGTAAATAACACTGGACTAAGTGTTCACTGTATGCTAAGTTCTGTGCACAGGCTGAGATTCAGACATGAAAGACATATTGGTCTGTGCCTCAAAGAACATTCAGTTTAGTGGGGAAGAAGGAAAGGGCTATGAGCGGGGATGAACAGGGCCACCTGGCTGAATATGCAGGTGGGTAAAGGGGTAGAGAGGCATCCTGAAGGAGGCATGAGCCGCGGAATCAGGATGGACATCCTGTGGTGAGAGAGAAAGGAGTGGAGGCTGATAAACATAATTCTGTGGATGGTGCTACAAAAGGGAACTCAGGTAATTTTGATGAATTCAATTTTGGAGATGTGGATGGCAGCCTGCGTGCAAAGTGGAGATGTCGACTAGTTTGTTGGACACATAGGAGGAGAGGTTAGGAGATGGAACTGGACTCTGCATTTGTTTGAAATCTGCCCTCTTAACTTTTCACCAAATACTAAGTCAGTGTAGTCTCTTCTCAAAAACTGTGTGACAGCTACTATTATTGATAGTCAGAAGCCTTTTTCATTTCTGTAGAAATGACTGAGGGTACATCCTCTACTTCTAAGGGTTTATTTATTTATGTTTTCTGACAAGTAGGCACGTGGCCTCTTTCTTACCTTTGCTTCTAAGTCAAAAGCACCAGGAGCTACTAACTTATCAACATTGGTTCTGTGGCAGCAAAAAAAGAAGAGAGAAGCTGAGGGGGTGTCCCCACGTGGGAAGGCAGCTGACTTTGCATCTGCCCCTGTGAAGTAGCAGTGCTGCCAGCGCCCCCTATTCAACTTCCTGGGCCTTAGGGATCCACCTCTGGGGAGAAGTTTCCTGCAAACCCACCAGCTCTGGAAGGATGCGTGGTCAGCACCCAGGGGTGCTAGGAGAGGAGCACCTTCCTTCTTCTCAGCACCCCAAATGGCAATTTTCGCATATGACTATTTTCTGGTTTGTTTAAAACTGACCTAAAAATCATGTTTTTTCTTTTTTAAAATAGCTTCTGCATGGAATATGCAAAACAATCCTTTTGAGAGCTGGAATTTTTAACATTTTAATAAGAATTAGTTTTTTGGTTGGTGTTTCAGGTTCACAATATCCACCTAAATCTTTCCAGAGGACAACTTTGACTTTAAGGAAGAGATTCCAAGTGGCATCTTGATAGTACGTCACCAGAGCTACAGCACTTGTCAGAGCATTCAAGGCCCCAGCACATCATTTATCACTTGAAAAATGGAAGAACAAGTATTATGTTATGTATCTGTTTGTCTGACAGTCTGAGGTGTTAGACTATCTGAGAGAAATGCAAACAAATGATTTTGAACACTTTGCTTTGTCAAGAGAATAACAAGTCAAACTCACCAACTTTCTTCTTTATTGGAAGCATTCTAATCAGGATTCTTTAGGCTTTGCTCAGAAGAATCTGTGCTGATAACACACCCTTCTATCAATTATACACAGACATACATATAATTAGTGTATGTATTCACTCACTACTTAATATGTGAAAGTATGTTATCTCGGAGTATGCCATTTTGTAACTTTATGTTTTGACTTTTTTTTGTCTCATTCTATAATTAAACCCTTAAAACCCTGGTCACTAATAGATATTATTCCCTTCTTTAGAAAATAGCAAAGTCATCTTTGGTACGCTATGCCCCTTTGACTAAGACTCACATTATTCTAATCATTGTGCTGACTTTCTTATGCCTTTTTTTTTTTTTACAAAAAGTACTTTAGTGATGAACCCCTTTGAGGAATATCAGCGGCTAAGTATCCCATGCCAATTTTGTTTTATAATTTTTCATGTTCATATTCAGGCAGTCTATTTAGAAGTACCCCAAATTTAATTGATTTTTAAAATCAGTGGATTGATTTTAATTATGAATCTAAACATAATTAAAATAATATTGCTTATGGTTTCATCTTTATTGTTTACAATTAAAGCGCTCATCCATTGGAGGGAAGGCTTTGCAGCAGCATCTTCCTTATTTCACCACAACCCGATCTTCTGATCTTTGCTCAAATGTCACCTGTGCAATCAAGTCTTCCCTGATCCTTCTGCTAAAGCCACAGCTCCCTCCTCTCTCTGTTCTCTTGCCCTGCTTTATTTTTCTTCAGAGCATGGACCCCTCTCTGACATGAATTTAGAAAATGGAATAGAGAATGCGAAGGAGAAATGGTCAATCGGAGGCAAGGGCTTAGGGTCACATTTCTTTTCCTGCCCTTCCTCACTGTTCTCCTTTATAGTGATTTAAATCCTTAGACTCATCATTTTGACATTCTCAGATCTCAAATGGCCATCATTTCTTCTTTGCTGTCAGATAATTATATTTTATCAGTCTAATTTTTTTAATCTAAAGTCAAGCTACATATTCATAATCATATAAATGTATAATGTCACTTTTAGACATATTTCTGGTTGTGAGAAGAGAGGGTTGTTGCCTATAGAAGTCTGAAAAATTAATGTGTTGGGACTAGAATTAGTGTTGTCCGTTATCACAGAGTGACAAAACAAAAATGACCCAAGAGCCCCCAATTGGCATTTTCTCCTTTACATTCTCTACTTCATTTTCTGTAGTAATGGAACATGGTAGGGAGTAGACATGAGAATGATCACTGTATCTATAGCTCTTTTGGATGGCCACAGATCCGTAACACTAAGGAATAGTCCAAATTGTTTACTTACTCACACAAAGAATTTTCTAACTATCCTTAAACATTAGCTATAGAAACTTTCAAGAGAAATTATCAGTTTTAATTTTGCAGTTGTCAAACGCGAGGAATTTCTAGACATGTGAGCTATCTGGAGCCCCTGTTCCTAAGGGCCTCCGGTGAGGTGCTCTCTGGTCCATAATTACTGCTAAATGTGCCATTTCTATCCACCCTGCTCTTTCAAAACCATTCAGGCTATTTTAGATCAATTTCCAGTGACCATCCAACTCCTTCCCTTAATCAGCCCAGAATTCTTAGAAGGGAAAAGGATTGATATGCATCCTATACTAGCATTAAGGTAGAGTATCCAAGATGAATTATGTTTTTCATGGATCCCAATGAATAGATTTTAGGGTAGCTTTATTTTATTTGGCTTTGGAGTTTTGCAAAAAGAGAAACTATTATTTATATATATTGATTAAAAATAGTTTAAAAAATAGAACCAAGTACAGTAATCTTGATTCATATCTCCTAAACATTTTTAATTGAAAGATAAAGTATTGAGTGTCAGAAAAGTCATGACGTATTTTTTCTGTTTTTTGTTGCAAAAATGCGTCATGACTTTTTCAACAACCCAATACTATTTTAGAGATAGCATAAAGACTTGGCTCTGCCACTGATGTTAGAAAGACCTATATTAAAGATAATATTTCACTATAGGTTAAATGAGAGTTAGAGGTTAGTAAATAATGATATATAAAGGATGGTGCTTTTATAAATGATTATATAAAATTTAGGGCAGTGTCTTCCTAATAATCTTTGATAAATGAGTCTTATCTTAGAATTTCTCTGTTAAAAATTGAAAAAGGCAAACTGAATTACTCCTGAGACCAATTTTTTAACTAAGGTTAGTGATTACATTAATTAAAATGCCTATTAACTTATCCAAAACCAAATAAGGAATTTAAAAATAATATAAATACATGTAAATTACCATAGAAAAATTGCTAGATTTTATAAATTTAACATAAAAGGAAGTATCCATATTGACATTATTCTGATTTAGAATGTAATTACCATACCAGTTAAGAAGTGCATTTTCATAATGTCATAAATCATTTGGGTATTACATTTTTTTCTAAAAGATTTTTATTGAGGAATTGGGGGGATGGGAACAGTGCTGGGGAATTGGGGGAAGGGGAACAGACAAGTTGCTGTCGTTTTGTTCTTCAGTCTAGTTGTGGAGGATGTTGC